TTCTCTGAGAATCTGCTCGGCGGTGATTTGAACCGGAGCCGGAGTCTTGTTCTTGACCCGAGTCGGGCGTGGAAGCTTGACTTCAGTATCCTTTCGGGTCATGTACCCTAAGGTACGGTCGGAATCTTTGCCGGAGGCCATGGCCTCTCTCTCTCGGTTTGTTCTAGGGCTTCTGGATTTCGGGGAAAAGATGGAAGAAAAGGGTTTATTATTTTTTATTTTGGTCACATGAAAGAAAAGGGATTAAAGACTTGATTATATAAAGGGTTGTTAATGGGCCAACATTATATTTCATTCTTGGCCCAATATAAGCCCACTTCCAGTACCAAACCTGCTTTGTGCAATTCAGAGAGAAATCCTAAATGGGCAATTAATATGTTTTGGTGTGTGTAGTGTAAAACATGGTTTCCTAACTTATTCAAAAGTTAACACAACTCTTAGTTTTGGAACGAGTTGGCAAACCTTATGCCTTAGCCGAGAGGGTTAGATGTTGCTCATGGACCGACCACGGTTTTGGTTCGTTCTTAACTAAGATTTTTTGTTCTTAACTAATGTTTTGATTCTCATTCGGTATTTGTTAGAAATTCATATTTATTGTTGTTTTCAGTGATAAATCTAGAAACATAGGCATGGATAAATTCAAAAACTTTGTTACAAGATGTAGCTATATAACAGTCAAATGGTCAGCATCTAGACATGGTTGATAGAAGAATATCCCTAACTTATTCACTGTTACAGAATCAAAGATTTTGGTATGATAATTAGGGGACTTGTTACATGAAATGTAATATATAAACGTAGATTAACCAGAATATGTAGTTAGTGATGGTATCCTCGTAGTATTATATATCAACTATATTCAAAAATATGCAAAATGTACGTGAAATGAGTTATAAAACATAGAATTTTTATTACAAAGTGCATAATTTAAGCTATAAAAATTGCTACAAGCTTATAATGTACTCCTCTGTTTCAAAATATAAGTTGGTTTACCTAAGACTGCAGATTTAAGAAACTACTTTTCTAATAAAAAGTATCATTTAATATATTTATTAAAAATAATTTGATCAATCATACAAAATATTGCAAAATACTAGTGGTCACACAATATTCAATAAACTTAAAAAGTACATAGGATTGTCAAAACAATTTACATTTTGAAATAAAAAAATCTCTAAAACAACTTACATTTTGAAACGGAGGGAATATAGTTTTATGTTTCCTAGTTAACTTTGGAGTTATATGAGAAGTTGTCACTTTTTATACATACTTTTTAGGGTCAATTTTGTTAATAACAAAAAAAAAATTAAAACATAAAAACAAACCAAAAATCCTAAAATTAGTGGATTTTGTTAATAACCAAAA